GCGTGACGAATGCGCTGAAATATTGCGTACTCGCCGTGCAACTTGCCCTAGATGGCCGCCGTGTCCGCCAGACCACCCTACGGTCGAGCAAACGATTAGTATACTTGGGTGAATCCGATACGTTACTTAAACATCCCAGTCATGCGTGAATATATGAAAGTAATAAAATTTATTAGCTGCTCTAGAATTTAAAAAATTTGGAAAATTAAGAAAGGGCAATAGGAGCCTGTTAGCAAATAACAGGCCCGCCTATTGTCTGTTCTTAATTTTCCTAATTTTGCGAATATATGAGTGACTTTCCTCGCCGAATTCCCCCGCGAGACGGAAAGGTTTTGAGTCCAGGGGGTCGACCCTTACGGAAAAAAAAACACTCAAGCTTGGAGTATTAACACTCGAATGTCCGAATTTGCTCGCAAATTTGAACGTGAACACCCAGTTTTAAATATTTACACCCAAATTTGAGAGTAAATTCGGACAATCGAGTGTTAACGCTCAAAACTTATCTAGTATCTTACAATATACGGTGAAAATGCTAGAAGCGAGCGGCTTGGTCTCTTTCTACAAAGCTGCTCACTTTCACTGGAGACCCTGTAATTAGAGACTGGCCATAACAGTTCGTCAAATCCCTGCGAGTAAGAGAGAAACGTAAGCCATCTCACTTTTCTACCATCGTAGAAACGTAGAAGAGTAAGATCACCTATGTTTCTCTCTCGCTCGCGGGAATTTGACGAACCCTCATGGCCAGTCTCTGATTACAGGATCTCTGACTCGTCACTAAAACCGTAAGATACAGAATTGATCCCCTGCATCCGTGACCGACGCGCGAAAACCGAGGACGGGGAGAAGCGACCGAGCCCGCGATCGGTAATGGCGGGCGAGCGACCGCGGATGGTATCGCCCGATTGGTCGGCCGAGGTCACGTGACCGACTCGAGGGGAGCCCGCGATCGAGAGCGAAGATTCGCGTCTTTCCTGCAAGGGAATTGAAGGGAATCGAAGGCGATTTCGTAAATCCCTGTTAACCAGCGGATAAAACTTAAATTCCCTCTCGCGGATAATAGCTGCCGCTGGTAAGAGCGATGGCTGCCCCGCGTGCGCGATTTCGGTTTCAACAAATTGACTTGCGACTTGAATTGAGATCTCTTTCCAGATCTTACGACCGACGCCTCCTACGAAAGTCTATGGTTTCGTGTCTTTCCGCTCGAATGCGTTCGGCGCGCAGCACTTTCTGCGCCCGCTTTCTTCCCGCTTTTTCTCCGCGCGATCTCTCGCGGGCGGCTGTTTCCTCACCGACGAGAGGAGGCGAGAGGAATGCTCGTGCGAATCGGTCGAGTCGAGTAGACGGAAAGGCGAATAAAAGCAATCCGCGCGGAATGCAATGAATAACACAGATAATTGTACTCACCAGAGGTTGCTACGCCGCCGCTCGATGCCTCCCAGGCCGCCGCTTCCTCTCAGATTCCTCCATTTCGCACCGGCACAACGCGGCACTCGCGAAAGAAGAGCTAATTTGTTTATGACGCACGACACGGCACTCCCGGCGTTCATCGACGCGAGCTCTGGCGCAACGAGGAGACGAAAGAGACGCGCGGGAATACGTGCCGCCACGGTAGCGTCGCGCAGAAATGGCGGGAACGTTCCGGCGAGGACTACGGAGATGCGCCGGCGAACGCGAGCGTTCGACGTTTCTGTCGCCGCGCGTGACGCGTGGAAGACTCGGATATTTCTACGCGCGCGCGTGCGAGGAGACGCGAGTGAACATCGGAGCTCCGGCGTACTCGCGGCGCCGCGAGGATCCGTCCGCGGTTTCTCGCGAGATCTACGCGTCTCGGTGGATCGCCGACGCCCGAGCCTCGAGCACTCCGCGCCGCGATCGCTCAACTTGATCGGCGTTTACTCACCGCCGTCGTGGATGGGGCGTCGCGACGACCGTCGGCGCGGGAGACCGCTCCGCCGCGCGTCCGCGACGCTTCGCGATACTTCTCGTACAGACCAACATGGCGCCGTTAGCCGGCGTCACTCTGCCGGCGGCACTACGCGAGTCGAGTCGGCGACGCGACTCGAACACCACTTCGATGTCGCTCGCGCGACGTGTCTCGAGTAAACGCGCGCTTAAATTCACGCGTCCGTCGGCGAACAGTCGCGACAGGCTCGCGGCTTTCCTCTACTCGAGTTACGCCGAAGGAATAGCGAGCGCGAACGTTAGACGGAGACCAGAGATGCAACGAACTTTGGGGCCGAGCACTCGAGAGTGTTAAGCCTATCACACAATGCGAGGCAACAGGCAACAGGAATAGGGAATAGAATTTTTGACGCGTTGGATTCGTCGAAAATTTTCTTCTAACCAATCCAACGCGTCAGAAATTCTATTCCCTGTTCCTGTTGCCTGACATTGTGTGATAGGCTTTACACTCGGGCCGGTATTCATAGTCCGTTCTTATATTTAAGATCATCTTAAGTATACTCTTAAGCTCGCTGCAGACGATGCTATTTTTCCTGCTGGATTGCTTGCGATCTAATAAATTACTATCGTTGCACCATTCAGCACTCAGGATTCCTAGTAATTTAGTAAATCGCAAGCAATCCAGCAGGAAAAATAGCATCGTCTGCAGCGGGC